CCTTACTAGCCTAATCTAGAAAAAATTCCTCATGGACATATGTTGACATTTTGTTAGTACTTTCATTTCTTCCCTTCAAAGTGAGAACATTTCAGTTTCTTTTACCTCATTTGGGCTGTTACTTGGGGGCTTTTGTCTTACTTTGCAGGTAGTACGTGGCTATTAATAAATTCTTTCTCCCTATTGGTTTTCTTTCTGAAGTTTGTCTTTGCTTGTCTCCTCATTTTCCTAACAATTTCTCTCTGCTTCATAGAACCAGCTATCTTCTTTGCTCAACTTGTTTCAGTGAATAGTATCATGAAATGACACCAAGAAATTGTTCCCAACTAGTTTGCAGGAGAGCCTGAGCACAATTTTCAAAAGTTCCACAGGTCTTGGTTTCTGCATAGCCCAAACCTTTTGTCTTTCAAACATCCCCTTATATCGTGCCTGTCTTCTAAAAACTCATTTGCAAAACTATTTCTACATGCTTGAGACAGCTTGAGGGGGGAGGCTGCTGTCTCAGTGTCTTAGCACCCTCTTAGGACCAGTCCCTTAGGGGGCAAGAGGATCAGCACAGAGGCCAGCATTTCTGGTTTACAGAGTAAGAGATCATCGTGTGTTCCAGATGTAAACATCAAGTATTCAAAATTTCCTGTAACTGAAAGAGAAAAAAGTCTAAAAAAACCAAGTAACCTCATGAAATAGGAGACGCCCTTTTACCCCAATAGTAGCATTTCCATGTATTTCTCATCCTTTTAAATTTTCTATGCAGGCTGAAAAAAAACTAACCAAAACAAAAAAACCCCAACAAACAAACAAAAAATAAAAACCCAACAAACCCAAAACAACCCCCCCCCAAAAAAAACCCCCAAAAGCACAAAAACAAACAAAAAAACCCCCACAAACAAGAAAAAAACCCAACAACGACAAAAAAAACAACAAAAAACCAAAAAAAAAGGTCAGTTTTTCATTAGATATTGTACTATGGTAATCTTATTAACACTTCAGTACTTTGATTGCTTTGTTATGTTATTTTTCTTGTTATGTTTGAGGGTTTTTTAGCTTGGAAATAAATGCAATTGCCTGAAACTACTTGTATTCAGAGAGTATAGGTACAATTTACTGCCAATCATGTTCTATTTAACATCTGTAATATCTTAATATCATTGTATATATTGGAGAAGTTATGTTGTAGATTCAGGAATAGAAACTTGAGACAATTATAAATTCAGGAAAACTAGTCCCATAGTAATATCGAGTATTCTGGTGGGCAGTCCAATGAAAACCTTTGGAATATTAGGCTTTTGTCACTTATTCAGGCTGAAGTGCACACATAATTTATTTGAATAAAATGGTTTTCTGGGCAGCATGAGAATCATGTCACGGGGCAAACTAGTGTGAACTTTAGCTGTTAAATGCAACTTAATATCTGAACTGAATTCCTATATTAAACAGATTTTTAAAAATTAAAATATCCCTAGCAAGTATGTAGATTGCTCCAAAACAATATTAATACAGTTTTCACAAAAACATGCTGAACACAGACATGATCATTCAACAAATTAGTTTATTTCTTGTCAGATTTATTACAATTTTTAATACTTAAATTTGCCAAAACACCATGAAAATACACAGTAGGGAATCTGCAACATTGGTCTGACTCACTAAGAATATTTTCACTCACCTCTGACTTGTGACTGCTGGGATAGTCTACTTGGCACTCAGTTTCAACCTGTTCATTGAGAAGTTAGCATTGATCGCTTCCCTGAATATTTTCTGCCAGAAGAAGGAAGCTTTTTCTCTAGAGATATTTTAAATATGCTTCTTGTTGGATAGAATCCAGATTCTGACTAATGAATTAGGGAATTTCTTTAATATGGAACAATTAATGACCTAGAAGCAGAGAATGAACTAAAAATTGAAGGATCAGCTTGATTTAAAAACAATAATGTTTAACATTTTTGAACATAGCATTGTGAGGAAAGGCAGATCAAGAATCCATGAGGAATCTACCAGATTAAGAGAGTATGCAAAATATGGTTTAGATTATTCTATATTTTTTTAAAATAGCTTTTCCTGCTTTCAATATGTTTTTCACAATTGTTTCATGTTTAAATAATCATTCCGCTTATTCTACTCAGCAGTCTAGGTCAGAGTAGCTTTAGTCTTCACACAATTTTTCTAATCCTGTCAGAAGAACAAAATCTTTTTTATCTTTATCATTTTGTCCTTTCTTTGCTCATTACCCAACTCTTTCTTTCCATTCCATCTTACACAAGTGTAAGCCCTTGTTCTTTTTCCTTACCCACCTTGCCCATTGGCTCATGTTCATCATCCCTTCTGCTGTTCCCTTCTACCTCCCTGTTTGCTCTCAAGCTCTGTCTGCAGCATTTGAGAATTTGCTGAAGCACAGATGGCAATTAATCTCCATGAGCTCATCCACAAAGAATCACATTTTATTTTAAAGAAAGGCAATCTCTATTTTATAAGGTCTATCTTTTATCTATTATAACTTAATGAGAAAATAAGTTTATGTGAACTGTATTAGATGCTGCAGAATAACTTAACAGCAATATTATCTTCAAAACTATATATATAAAGTTATTGTTGTACTACATTTTCTTTAAATACAGCAGACACTAAATGTAGCTATACTGCAATACAATTCTATCTGGCTTTTAAAGAGGTAGTTGAGTGATTGTTTCACAATTTTCATGTATCGTTTTACTCTTTGCTTTATCCTTTTCCCTTGGAATAAGTCTGGCTATTTCATCCCATGTAGTGTGATGAATAGAGATTTCATGACCTCTCTGTAATGAGAGGATGAGGAAGAAATAGATTACTATATTTGGCTAGTGTGGGGCTTTATATATTTTTTCCTTTTGTGAAAGGAAGGCTTAAGTGAAAGTTATTCCTGTAGATGCACATAAGGCTAAGGAAAAAGCAGAGATCTCTTAGTACACTTTTTGACACAAGCAGCTCAGTGGGAGACCCAGCACAGATGGTTTAAAGGGCTGTTGTAAGGACTGAAATAGTCTCTGGACTTCTCAAAAGTCCTAATCTCTTTAGGGCAATGAGAGCTTGTAACTGAGCACATAAAGGTCTGAGAGGAGCTGCTGCTGGCAGAACTCCCAGACTTCAACCACTGGTGAAGGTCACAATTGTTTAAAGTATATAATATAGGAATTGGAAGAGTGTTTATTGAAGAGTCACAAAGTTCCTACTATTTGTTTTTGTAACCTTTATTTTAATCGCTAATGATAAGGTAGGCTTAAAACACAGTTTTGATGTTCAAAAAAAGTGTTACAATGGATGAATTGCTGTCAAATCAGAGAAGTGGGATTTTTCCATTAGAAAAATATAATCAGAATTATATATATTAAAATAAATTTCATCTGCATCATCTCATACTATCTGCAGTGTTAAATTTGTTTCACCTTTTTGAGTTGGTCAAGTATCTATTCCATACAGAAATCGACTTACTCTAGTTTTCATTTGAGTATGAAACAAAAAGCAATGTAAAAAAAAAAAGGGCTGGAAGTGCTTTGGTATTAGAACGTTAGGGAAAAACAACGTGCCTCATTTCCAGAAGCATTCATTTGTAGTACTTCTCCCATCCCCAATTATGTCAGAAGTTTAGCTGGATTTTTATTGCATGTTTAATGTAGACCTGAACCTGACTTTGAATCTTTTGAAAACCATTCAAGCTCAAAGATATGTTAACAGGTTTTTGAGCTTTTTATTGTATCATACATGTAAAATATGTATTGTGAGTTGTCATTTGAGTGATGATGGAAAGTATACTACTAAGGACTTATCATTAAATATCCCTTTTCATACCAATAAAAATATAAATTACTGTCTTGAGAAACCATCCAGTGTGGGTAAGGGCATGTAAAAATTAATCTGGCAGATCCTAATGGTTCTCAGCCTTATTTTTTGTCTTTTACTTTTGTCTTTTACAAGGTGTTGCTATCTTGACCTGGAGAATAAGATTGAAATTTACCATCTTAAATCTGCATATTACCATTTTATAAAAAGTTGCACAGTTCCTGCCCTGTCACATCAAGAAACTGAAAATATACTCTGGCTAGCTTTTTAGAGAAGTTCGAGTAGCAAACTTTGAAATTTGCTGATCTAAGGCTATGGTCAGTAGGAATGTTTCAAAGAGAGGTGCTAGTGAAAATCTTTTCACAAATGCTGGTTATGAGAGAATATTTAGGAGGCACAGTCTTCTTGAGCCAATGTTGAATTTATACTCAGTGCTGGGCAGAACAACCAGACAAGCCAGGAAATCTCCGTAGTGAATTGAGCCTTCTAGGACTCTGCATGTCACACTGCAAGCCACCCCTCTGCTTCAGCTGTGTGTCTGTGAAAATATGTTTTAAAGCCTCATTATAGAAGAATTACAGATAATCTGGCCCCGTTACTTCTGGAATGATATGTTTCTAGTTCGAAGTAAGGAATCTCTCTTGATGAGTTTGTTATTCTGTATCAAATGCTTTGTCCACTGGAGAGTAAGTGGGAGAACAACGAGAAGTTAGCACAGGTTGACATTGCAGCTTGAGAACTACTTGAATGTGCAGCAAGTTTTATTGAAGTTTGTAACTAAATATCTTCTATAACCTAAGTGCTGGATGGAATGTGTAACTTAGGAGATGTGTGAGATTTTTGCTTCCTTTTCCTTTTCTTTTTTTTTCTTTTCCACTTCATTTAGAGGAAAAAAAAATTGAAAAGTAAATGACTTTTAAATTGATGTGACAATTTTGCTGTATTACCTAAACAGATCCATTTTCACATTTAATTAGATTAAATGACCAGTGTTTCTTGTATCAATGCTATTTTATTTCAAAGTTCGTTCCTGTCCTCAGCTTTACCTGTCCTTGTGGCACATCAACACTTACACAGACTCCAGTCATAAAGTTTGAGACTCAGGGGGTCTGATTATCTCACACTGAAATTTCAGAGTCAGCTTTAAATATTTATGCAGATAATTAATTTTTGCTGTTCCTATACAGGATTGACATCTTCAAGTACGTGATATATGGTGTAGCAGCTGCATTCTTTGTATATGGCATTCTGCTGATGGTGGAGGGATTCTTTACAACTGGTGCCATCAAGGATCTCTATGGAGATTTCAAAATCACCACTTGTGGCAGATGTGTGAGTGCCTGGGTAAGTGGCTAAGAAAGCTTTTACGACAAATTCAATATGCTTTGTATATTTTTTTAGTGCCTTGTGATGTTTATTTTTCGGTTTTGTTTTTCTTTGATATTTTGTGATACCGCAGTTCAGTGTTTAAAATTTACAGCAAAGGAGAACAGAGTTATAAATATTCTCTGTATTGGCTAAACACGAAGTAATTCTTGCTACTCAGGAGCAATGAATTGCACTAGCTGAATGAGAAAGCTCGTTACTTCAGCAACATAAGCTGTACTGAGCAGGACTAAAATTGTAAAGCCTCCAGCTCTACTGGGAAAGAAATATTTCCTTTGCTAATATTTTCAGTTATTTTAGGAATCTTGCCTGTTCCTCTTTGTAACAAGCTGAGACCTGTCATCAGGTTCTGGTTTGTTTCTAAATGGCAAACAACCCATTATTATTTACTCCTGTATTAATGTCTCATTTGGAGAGACCATTCACTTATGATCCTGGAAAACCTGGATTCAAAAAATTCTGATTTGTACTAGGACTTAAACGGAATTTTATCATGTTAAAATTGCTGACTGTTTCAACTGGGATTATTTTAATATTTTTGTTCTGTGTCAGGTAAGTAATTCTTTTGGTATTTGACTGTTCTGCTTCTAAGCTAAGAGGCATGTACACTTGGTAGCTGTTGGAGCTGGATTTTCCTGAAAACACAATCTGCATCATGACCTCATATTTTGTGATGAATGCTAAATAAATAAATATAGCCAAATAGATCTGGGTGTTAAAGCAAATTTAATTTTTATGCTACATTAATGAAAAATAATATATAATTGAGTAGGCAGGGTTGGGTTTCCCATTGTACTTTACTACAACTGTTAACTATTAACTAAGTGGAATAGTCTAAAGAAATATAAGCAACAGATACTTCTAGTTACACAAAGACTATTAAAACTAGTATTTTGGGTATCCTGACATTTAAGGTTAAATTGGATACAGATTATCTGCATCTTGTAACTTGGGGAATGCAGTGTGTGTGTCATCTCTATGTAGATGTGACCTGCTCCACAGTGATCCTGTGGTTTTGTCTCTTTTTCTTTCATTCTTGTCATCATTATATGATTTTGGCACTTTGACTAAGATTGCTTTAAAACCTTTAAATATATATATATATATATATAAAGACTGAGAACATTTTAAATAAAGAGCAGTCATTGCTTATGCCAACGCTGCTTTCATCTTCTGGAAAGAAGTCTCTAATCTATATTCACTGAAGACCTACTAAGTTAATTCCAATTCTGTACAGAATAGCAAGATTTTCAGAACTCTATTTTTCTTCACAGCTCCCATGAATGTCTGTCCTCAATATTGCAGCAGAACAGTGCTACATCTTCTCCCAGTTTTGATAATTGTAATTCTCTAGTACATGTCTAGCAGAAATGTATAGTTAAGCAGCTATTCTATGGTTAATATCATTGTTATTATTAGTGATTCATTACACTATTTCCTTCAACACTTTACTTTCCTCATCAGTGATTTGCAATGTTTGTATTTCACTTTGAGAAGCCCTGGGTTGATACACATTGTGCAGCTAAAGTTAAGGCTGTATACTGTTTATGATCACAATTAGAATAATCCATCAGTTAGTTTAATGCCTTGCTGTTATTATCCTTGAAGTCAGTAGAAGTTTTTTCTTTTTCCTAGTGAAAAAAACCCATTAACCTGCTGTTTAATTGCTTGTCTCATTTTAATGATGTGTCAGTAAGATTGCTATACAAATGTCTGGGGTTATTTTGGATTATTATTCTGGATTTAGTGTCTATACTCTAGAGAGTATATGTCAATTAAAATTTAATATCCTCTTGACTAGGTTGATTTTCATTGTCTCATACTTAAAATTCTTAAGGGAAAAATAACATCTTAGATTTAAAAAATATATATATTGGGAATTAGAAAATATTTCAATCTAAGAGCGACATGTTTAGAATTTATTCAGTTCCGTAACAATACAATGATATAAAGAAATAAGACCTAAGAGCAACAAAAAGAATAGTGGAGAGGTAAATGAAACCAAATCGGTATTGTGTGTCAAGGCCAGGTTGTTCAGTTGCTAAAAATGTGCTGTAATAAATTTTGTTGTGTACAGTTGCCAAAATGAGATAATGCTATTGAAAGGGGTTGGCAGATACTACAATTTGCAAGAAAGCTTCCTTGTATACAGTTTTGAGCTCATAATTTTGTAAATATTAAGATCTAAACTGTCAAAGACTAAACAGTTGGCTTCTTTTACCAGTGCCTAAATACTAACAGAAATGCACACACAGGATATTTGTTGTTTTGAAAAATTAAAATTATAAAAATGGCTCCCCATCAAAAACACCTTTGTAAAAACTGTAGTTGTGACTATGATTTCACATGAAATCTGTTGATGTCTTTCTAAATAGAAGTTTAGCATGTTAAAGACTGAATGAAGTCCTTCAGCTTTACCACTGCCAGTTGTTTGTCATTAATATTTTGCACGAGCAAATTTATTTTGTTTGAAACTAAACCTATTATGAAAATAGATGAAAAAAAGCAATAAAAAAATTTCAGAGAGAAAAAATTATTTTAACTTTATATGGATAAGCTGTATTTCTATAAATGGAAATATGAAAAGTAACATTTTTTTCTCTTTTTTATGAAATATTTTTGAAAAGCAGGCTTTTAAGAACACCAATAGACAACATCTGAAGACACTTTTCATGTGCCCTTCCTGGCCTTCATCCTTAGCTGGAAATAGCTCACTTTCTAGCTCTGAATGGGCAAAAGGAATTTTTTTTGCCTGAAGTAATGGAAAAAGATATTTCTTTTTCCCAGCCTAACCTTTGCAGCGCCTGTATAGTTGGCTTATCAGCTGATATGAGCATTCAAAGGCTCAGCATCCAAGTCATGTCAGCCATGGAGTGGAGCCTCCCACATCGGAGAGAGGCCTTGTGAAAGTGACAGTGAAGACTCCCATTGGCAACATTTGCAGACTAAATTTACTGTGAAAAGTAAAGAAAAAGCAGTAAAACAATGCCAGTCACATTTGAGAAGGGATGGCTTTCTTTCTAGTCTTCATTTTTCCATGCCTGAACATGCTTTTAGAGTATTAAATAAACAGTCATATGTAAGTGTGCTGCAGCATGATGAGTAGAGAATGGGAGACAGGCCTGAAGCCAACTGTAACACTGTTTTCATGTTAGCAATTTAATACCCTGCCTATTTATATCCAGCTCCCTTGGCATGGAAAGCCTCATTTACACCTTGTTTTAGAATATCTGCTTATTGAGTCAATAAAAAAAAAAATGAACAAAGAAATAAATGACACTTTCCCCCTCTCATGTTATGCTATAAAATGGGAAAGGAGCTTTGGTTTTTGGTTTATTTCATCAGAAAACATTATATATCCAGACTTCATCATGGCTGTTGTATTTCTATTTCGTTGTGCCTTGCTTTTCAAAAGAACCATGTTAAGGCTCTAGAGAAAGATGTTTTATATTCTAAACTTCACTTACATATACCTTCTGTACCTTTAGCTTTAGGAATATTTTATTTTAATTACTGGCAAGCATTTTTCTGCCTTGGAAAATAATTCTGGGTACCTGATTACCTATGTGCTATTTCACACATGCTTCTTGAGTCCCTAAACTAAAACGTGAATGTCCCAAAATATTTTCAGTTTATATTGTGCAAAAAAATCAAGGAAGCTGCACAAATGTTTTGAAAAACCATCTGTGAACTCGTCACTTCATCTTTTCCATACCAGCCCAGTTATTCTAGAGGCAGTGAAACTGCATCATATTGACATTTGATTCTTTGTGTAACAGGAGGAAGAGAGCTCAGTGCAGGCTCAGCTGGCTTTCCCACCCAGAACAGATGTATTATTTCTGAATGTTAGACGTGAAGCTCTCATTTCTGAAAATTAGATACCATGTCTGGATATTCTGGGGAAAAACTGCTGATCTGACAGACAGGGAGACCTTGCTTCTGGTTAAATTCTGCTCCATCTGAGGAATATAGTATGCTTCATACAATATTTGTGAGAAATAAAGGACTTTCTCTCCAAGGCAGCAGATATACTTATGGGTCCAGAATCCTTTAAACCAATCTTAACTAGGGAAAGTATCTAAAAATCTCTTGTCATCATATATATTTAGTTGTGCATCCTGTAAGTAGTTTCAGACCATGATACAGGAAATGGGCAAGATGAGATTCAAAGTGCTCTGACCTTTCTATTTAGATTTTTATTGAGAATGCTCAATAGAAAACCAGAAACATTATTTTTTTCCACAAATTACGCAGAAGTTAATGGAGTAGTTAATTTCAGAGGGAATCTATTTTGACACAGATATATCCCACCTAATTAAGAATGTTACTAAAGTTGTCAAGAGAAAGGCTTATGCTCCTTCAGTAGTTAAAGGAGAGGGAAGCATAGGCAAACTTTGTCAGATGAATTGAATTTTTTGTGACTGTCCTATTTTCTGCAAAAAGAATAGCCCTCAAGTCTTTTAAGTTACGTCTTTTATATTAAGCTCTTCAATCAACTATATACATTTAGCTGGATGTATCCTGCCTGGCCCCTTTAGATGGAATTTAGGTGAATAACATTTTCTGTCTAAACATAGCGGGAGTTAGTGATGAAAGAAAACATCAACAATTTTATGGGTTGTTGGAATTCATCTTATACCTGGATACTAAACCAGTGTTGGAATTTCTTTAGGGAACTGTGTTCCTTGCAGTTTTCTGCTCTTGATCTTGAAATAGGAAGAACAAGCCCTAACAATAATTAAAAGCTCAGTTGAATGATGAAGAGAGTCATCTTTATGTCATTCTCTCCCAACAACTTTGTTTTTACACATATGGCATCTTGAAAAGAAAGAAGAAAGCAAGTTTTTTTTTCACTATTTGTTATATTTTTAGAAATATTTTGCAATGAGCTCAGAAATTATTTTGTTATGCATATCTAGGTGCTGACTCTGTTTCTATCTTATTTCTGTAATCTGTCC